CGCGCGTTCCACAGCTCCGTGTCGGATGATATCCTAAAGTCGTGTCTTAAGGTAGTGCGACATCAAAGCAAAGCAAAACTTGGTCAAGATGTGTAATACTGCAGATGTAAAGATTACCCTGCATAAACACGAACGTGAGATGAAGCTCAAGCGTTCTCGAAGCTGCACGATTATGCAACTTCGAGATGTTGTAATGCCTGTGGTCGTGCAAATTGTGATAAGCTCAGTGCACATGACGCGGTGTTTCGTTCCAAACTTAGCCTTGGAACTCATCGGAACCTGGTTGTTGGGTACATGACGCGCAGGAATTACTGCAAACTCGAAGATGCTGAGCAGCGGTTCTCTTCAAGTCAGCATTGTGTGACGATATTCGTCATCTCTGCCGCCGCACTATTCACTGGGTTGGCAATTTTCTGGTTGGGGTTCTGGTATATTTTTGCATTTGGGCCCGTAGACCCAATCGACTCGTGTGGCTGACTTCGACCTGGAGCTCGTTGCCTAGGTGCATCTCCATGTTGCCCTGAGAAGGTGGCGATTCGATCGTGGTATCTGCGTCTATGCAGACGAAACATCTGGAGTTTGCGCGTCGAGTGAGAACCAGCCGATCCGGATGAGGTGTGTTCTGCGAGGCCGTTGTGCGCCGCGAACTTGGCACAGAGCTCAAGCCATATCATTCGACGCAAGTGAGCATGTTGGGGTCGTCTTTGATGAGTAAATCGGCATATCGGCAACCGCTATGTGATAGAACGATGTTCGTAGCGGCACCGGCCTAAAGAGTTACGGAGACAGCTGTAGTAAGTCGGTACCTGGCTAGTACGAGTGCACACTAGCCGGGAACTGCTGGTAAAACAGCGGGTGAGCTAGTTGCGCGATCCCTAGTGGAAACACCATCATCACTACAAATAGTACAATGATCTATCGTTTCAAGGAGTGATGTCGCAAACATAATGACTTCATGCTTGTCCTGAGGAGCACGGAGCGAAAGCGATCTTACTTTACTTCGAGACGGGTGTTTCTGTCATACACGCCACCACCGTGAAGATATGCAGACTTCGGCGCGGAGGAGGTCGCGGTCGCCGACGAAGGCTTTGCGCCTCAGCGTGGGTAAGACAATAGGCTCAGGGTCCAATGCAGGGCAATATGACGTGACTGAGCAGGACCGATGAGAAGCCTCCATGCGAAGTTGGAGGGAAGGCAGAGAATCTCAGGCGCGCCGGACTTGCAACGTCGGCTCTCCTCACTTAGATAACATCCAGGGTTGACGCTTTTGGGAAGAGGGCGCGAAGCGAGCAGGGGCTTTAGGCTGATGGTCGCAAATGGGGCGATCCGCACGACTGCCGGACGATCATTGGTTTTTGAGGCCTCTGAAAATAGATTAGCCCCATATGCAACAACACCATCAGCACCGATCATCATCCTGACACACGACAGCCAACTGTCACAATACTCGTGTTTCCAAGACGGCCGCATCCTTCGGATTCATCGCCGAGCTCGTCAGTTCAGCCCACCCAGCCAGCATCAGCTGTACCTCTTGCCATCTCCTAGGGATCCCCGGTGGCAACATTGCATGTGCAATTCTCGTAAAGGGTCACACGTGCAATGCAACCCGTATCTGCTTACTGAGTTCAGGCAGAACATCCTTAGAGTAACAGCTTTCTAGCCTTGACAAATTGTCTTCTTGCGACTATCTCCGGAACGTCTGACGAGTCAGTCACTTACCGGTGACCAGGACAGCAAGTTGCCCAGAACGATGCGGAAAAGAACATCGTCGATGTATAGCCTTCCAATACTGCGGCTATCAGCGATCGCCCTGCAGCTTTCCTCAGGATGTTCCTTATCAGCTTGGTCCTAAGCAAGCTAAACGAAAACGGTCGCGGAGGATTCACATACTATGCCTGCCTTGGCACTGATGCTGCATACTCAGCGCAGCCAGAAAACTCATGGTCCTTGCAGACCAGTGAGCTGGTCAAACAAGCGAGGCTACTTTTTGTAATCACAGGCGTCATGCTTGTTAGAGGACATGATCCACTCTCTCGGCTCTGACATGCAGCGTCCCGTAGCTGCGCACGGAATATCGGTAGTCGAAACTATCCACAGGAGTAGGCTTACATGCTCAGGCAGTGACCCTCCTGCCATGGAACTTACAGGTGCTATATGTAGTGCCTCATGCACCCGCATCTCTTCTTAAGGCTGCACATCTTTCGTAACCCAACTTCTTGGTCCTCGTCACGCTGGGTGTGATTTCTTTTCCTACGGACCGTTTGCCATTATGGGGCTTCCTTCAATATTACTAGCGGTAGCTGTTCTTGGTGCATATGCACTCTACAGGTACTGGGATTCATCTCGTCGTCATAGAATACCGACAGGCCTAAAGCCTCTACCAGGACCCAAAGGTATGGATCTTATTTCTCCGTCACATCGCATAGGCGAAGGTCTACTGCTGGACCTTGATGATCATAGAAGTAACTTGACTAACCAATATATGATAGGCTACCCCATCCTCGGCTCAGTACCTGAGGTGCCTGAGAAGAACGGTTTCATCAAGTTCGCGGATTGGGGCAAGCAATATGGCCCGATATATCAATGCGACCTGGCTGGTCATAACCATGTCTGGATATCTAGCGATCAGATTGCAAAGGACTTGCTTTCGAAGAAAGCGGCCATCTACTCCGATCGACCGCATATTCCCTCTTTGATCGACGACAACCGTTCAAGCGCGCAATATCTTCCGCTTCTCAGTCGAAATGGTAACTCACATTCATAAACGCCTCATAAAACAGTGTCTAACGCTTTCCAGAGGGCCATACTCGTCAACGAAAGTTTGCGAACATCATCATGCGTGAATCGGAAAAGGCTGCGTTCCATCGATACCCTGAAATGGAATCAACACGCATGTTGACCGAGCTACTGGACGCACCTGATCAATACAACAACATCCTTGAGTCGTTCATCTCTCGCGTCACCTGTCGACTGGCCTGGGGCCACAGCGAAGGTAGTGACGAGCTGAAGCAACGCGCACGCGAACTTCTCATTGGTGTCTCGCCCACTGGCTCTCTGAGCAACAAGCTTCCATTCCTCATGTCACTGCCGGACTGGCTCTCTCCACCCAAGGCTTGGGAGAGGCGACGCGCAACCACTGAGCGAACATGGTTCCAGACCATGCAAGAACAAGTCGTGAACGATGTGCAGTCTGGACAAGCAGCCCCATCTTGGATGAAAACCTTCCTGGATGGTCGTAGCAAATGGGGATTCAAATCCGATACCGAAGGCGCATATGCTGTTGGCATGCACGGTATCGCTGGAGCTCTTACTATCGCCGCTCCAATGCAGACGTTTTGTCTGGCTATGACACACTATCCACAGTTCTTGCCGATGTTACATGAGGAACTCGATCGTGTCTGTGGAGACCGGATGCCACGTTCAGAGGATAGACCCAATCTTCCTTTCTTGCGAGCCATCATTCGCGAGTGCATTCGATGGCGCCCACCAGTCCCCACTGGCATTCCCCACTATTTGATTCAGGATGATGAGTACAATGGCTATCACATTCCCAAGGGCAGTACCATTCATCCTTTGGAGTGGTAAGTTCACTTGTATCCTGATTGGTGTAAACTATTCTGACATGCTTCCTTAGGGCCATCTCCCGCGACCCTGATCTATACCCGGATCCAGAAACCTTCAACCCTCTTCGATGGATCAAACCAGAGTACCCCACCTATCAAGAACCTCTTTCTCAGTATCCAACTATAATCAACTCGACACAGTTCGGGTACGGCCGGAGGACTTGCACAGGGCAAGCTGTGGCAGATGAGGATCTACTGATTGGCATCGGCGCTATTGCGTGGTTGTTCGACATCAAGAAGTCATCAGGTGATCCCATCATCATGCCGGCCATGAGTCCCATGAGGGCGGAACATACGATTGGCATGAATGAGAAGGCCGCCACCTCGGATGAGGAGCTCAACACAAGTCTCAACACAACTGAGCCAACCATGACAGAAAAGATCCTTGCGAAGTTCACATACCCTGGATCTAAACCAACGAACGACGCAACACTAGAGAAATCAAAGCCCGCTGAGCTGACCAGTCAGCCTCTGGAATGGGGCGACATCACCAAAAAGCCCGAAGACCCCACGCTCGATTACTCCATCCTGCTCATCGCGAAGCCTATTCCCTTCAAATTTGATCTCAAGCCTCGCGACACGGTGCGAATAGACACGGTCCGCGACCTCTTCAGGGAAGGCGTCGAAAAAGGTGACTATCCCGAAGCGAGGGGATACTGGGGTGCAAACCAGGGACGTGATATGCCTTTGGGCTGGGCCAAAGTTTGAGACACGCTGTTCGTGATTTGCAAGCCCTGCAGATGCAGGCTTATTCACCCTTGTGCGGGGACCCGGTGCTGACCCTGCAGCGCCGATCATGGGTATATAAAGGCGACAATAATGATTCGTTTGGAGGGATTTTGGCCTCCCAGGTGCGGTTGAGCTATAGTTTGCTCCCGCGTGGCTGGGGGGAAGGCGATGCTATCGCTGTCGCTACGTTGTTATGATCTGGACATCCTTTACCAGCTTTCCTTAGTATATACCACATGTCTCCTTTACTTAGAGCTTCAATACCCAATACGAAAAGTAATCTATAATGGCACGGCTTGCATGAGTTGGTCCATGGAGTAAGAAGACCCTCACTTGATAACTGACACATGTTGGCATACATCGGGCGAATGCGTAAAGCACGTTGCAGCTTACTCTAGACCTGGCTCTTTCGTCGCTGACCATCACGGCCTGGATGGCGTTGGGCTGAGTGCGGACACGTTCTGGGTGAGACGCTGCACACGTGATGAGACCAGTCTGCCGCCACACCCTCCAGCCACAGCTCTGACATCACGCATCTTCGGACCGAACGGCCGCAACGCGACATCGCCCTTCCACAAACACCACACGACATCTCAATGCGCCCACGATAGCCCTGCTCAGCTCACCGCGAGCACGAATCGCGCAATCATGTTCGGCCTCCAATTCACCGCCACGCGCACGCAGATCGCATCGTACCTCTTCGGCGTGGCGCTCTTCAGCATAAGCTTCCTCGTCTTCCTCAATAGCTCTATTTCCTTTGTCATCACACAGCGTATCGGCCAGTCGCGCAATGTTGGTGATGCGGTCGGCACGCTGGGGTTCGTGGATGAGCTGGTTGCGCTTGTTGCGTGTCCAGCGTGGGGACTACTGAGCGACCGCGTGGGTGTGAGGAGTGTTGCGGTTATGGGATACAGTATTGTGGGTGTTGCGCTATGGGTCCTTGTACAGGCGCGGAATGTGTATCCGGAGCTGTTGCTTGCGAGGGTGCTGTTCAGTCTGGGTGGAAGTGCGACGTAAGTTTTGAGAAGTTGGGATGTTTGCACAGGCTATTGAGGCTGACATCTGAACAGCGCGACTATGGTGACGGCGATTTTGCCCTCGATGACTCTCGTCAAGGAAGTCAAACCTGATCCGCGATCGCCGACGCGTAGCCGTGGCAGGTCGCATGCGCCAGCCGCTTCGATATCGTCCGAACTCACGATTACGCCCGCGCGTTTCCGCTCCAACTCTCCGGAAGATCATACACAAGACATACCTGCGAAGAAGAGTTCGGGCGCATCTACGTCACAGCTTGCTGGTTTGGTGGGCATGTTCACAGGCTGCGGCGCTCTAGTCGCACTGTTCGTCTTCCTACCTCTGCCAACACAGTTTCAAAATGCCGGCGAGCGTCCCGCGACAGCTGTAGCAGACGCGTTCTATGTCGTAGGGGCCATCGCTTTTCTTGTGGCACTAGGCTGTTTCTTCGGCTTGCGCCAACTACCTGGTGAAGAAGCGAAAGGCTGGAAGCGCCTTACCAGCAGAGGTGACTACAAAGACGTAGACTCTCATCTGACGCGCGACGTCGTACTATCATACCCTGGTCTCTTCCTGGAAAGTGTCCGTCTCGGCTTCACCTCCCCAAACATCGGACTCGGCTACGTCGGAGGATTCGTCGCGCGCGCATCTTCAGTTGCTATATCGCTCTTCATCCCTCTCTTCACGAACCACTACTTTCTACAAACTGGTCGCTGCAAAGTTGATTCCAACATTCCCTCAGACATCAAAGTCGCATGTCCCGAAGCCTACAAACTTGCAGCGATGTTAACAGGCATCAGCCAGCTCATAGCACTCATGTCCGCACCTCTCTTCGGCTACCTTTCCGGTCGATTCCCACGATACAATATCCCCTTGCTAGTAGCAGCTGTATCTGGCATTGCAGGATACTCAGCCTTCGGATCGCTCACGAGCCCAGACTACAAGAGCGACGACGGCACTGGCGCGATCTTCTTCATCGTAGCTTTACTAGGCATCAGTCAGATCGGCGCCATCGTTTGCTCCCTCGCCCTCCTCGGCCGTGGCATCAACAACGACGAACATGGCTCCGCGACAGATCTCCACAACTCGGCTTCCGCATCCATTGGAACAACGTCGCATCCATCTGCAGGCGCCACACCACCACACAGCGCGCCCATCACCCCTCTGGACGAAAACGCTCCTTTGCTTCCAGAACACATACAATCTTCCCGCTCGGCCTCCGCGTCAAGGCGGACATCATCGCATAACCACATCAAAGGCTCGATAGCGGGCACGTACAGTCTGCTGGGTGGCTTTGGTATCTTGCTTCTGACTAAAGCGGGTGGTGCGTTATTCGATAGTACTGGACCTGGTGCGCCGTTCTACATGATGGCTGGGTTCAATGCGCTGCTTCTGGTGGTTACTGTGGGTGTCAGTGGGTTGCAGGGCGTGAGGAGGTGGAGGATGTCGGCGTCGGGAGCTTAGGGCTGGCGTGTGTGTTAGCATATGTATGGTATGTGTACGAAATGGGATGGTAACAAGGCGTTTGATGGGGTTTCACTGGCTGTTAGGTCGGATATGGACGAGGCGGGGAGTATATACCCTCTTGCAATGATATTGGTAATCCAACGATGACATGCATGGTTCTCAGCGATTGTATCACAAAGGAATGCTCCGTATGAATTTGACAGATTGCTCGCAACCTCATGGTCGCTAATTATAATTTCTCAAATTTCGCTAGTAATGCCTCAACGTCCCATGGCACCGTCTTCAGGTCTCTCTCTAACAAAATAAGAAGCCAGGATATCCAAACACACATATCATCCATCTATGTAAGCCATCCCGAACCATTTCCAATCCCCTCACTTCCCACCCCTCCACCCCATCTTCCCCAACACATCCCCCCAATCCAGCACATCAACCTTGCTCCTCGGCGCATCAGCCACACTCGGTCTACCGGCCAGACTCTGCGGCCACGGTTTCTTTGGATCGACCTAAAAGGAAACACACATACCTTAGCCCATTGTTCTTGTGTCACTTCTTAGCCTTGGGCGTGGAACTCACTTCAGTGCTGCCGGTCCATGAGGCGCTGCGTTGCATGGCGAAGACGAAGTCGCGGTATTTGTCGCCGGTGCTTGTGGTGGTGGGGGCTGGGTTGGTTGGATCGGTGGTGTTGGAGGGGGAGTTGTTGGAAGGCCGGTGTGGAGGCCGGGTTGTAGAGGGTACGCGTTTTGTTGGATTCGATGGGCGGGGTTGGGGTCGTGATGAAGATCCGGATGAGGGTGAACTGGGCCGGAGAGGGCTTTGGGCGTGAGGACGCGGGTTTGTGAGAAGGGATTGGCGTGGACGGGAGTGAGCGTTGTTGATGTGGTCATGTGTGGGTTTCTTGGGCTGGTTGAAGGAACCTGGCAATGACTTCCTTACTGGTTTTGGCTTCGGGACAGATTGGACTTCCTGTCTAGACTCGGCTGTTCTTGCAGGTGGACCACCGCTAAGCTCCTCCAGTGCCCTTTCCAGCGTCTTCGTGTTCTTGATAATGCCCTCTTTGTACAAGGTATCGCGGATGTCGTTCTTGTAGAAGCGATGGTATGGCTCCGGATCTTCTCCTTGACCAATACAGTCCATGGCGTACTGTCTGTAGTCTGTCCTGTTACGTATGATGAAGTCGTCCCACTGCCATTTTGGTACCATCTTGTCTTCCTGTTCCAGTTGATACATCTGCGTGCATTGATTTCGAAAGTGCTTCTCATCGCCATCATATTGTGGATAGGCGGATTTGAAGGACTGGAAGACGGTTTGAACATCATCCTGATCTACTTGCTTTGAAGATGCTGGTAGAGGTTGCATAGGTATCGGAACGGGACCACGAGGTCGATTATCACGGGAGCGGCCTTGTGACTGAGTATGTGTTGTGGGCGGCTGGGAAGCTGGGTTTGCAGCGGGCTTTACTTGTCTAGGACTCGGTTCGTCATATAGATCCTGATGCCGAGGGGACATGCTGGGCGATGGCTCCTTTTTCTCCACTTTGACAGCACCGTCAATATCCATTGCGTCTGAATCTTCCGTGGCAAATCTGCTCGTAGTCTCAGGTCGACTGTCAAAGCTGGTGCTAGAATTACGTTGCTCCCGCCATCTGCGTAGAGAATCGTCTCGTTCTTTGAGTAACGCAGCCACTGGGTCGATCGCAGACGGAGCCTCGTCTCCAAACCCGACAATCTTGATTTCGCGTCTCTTAGATTGTCGACGTTTGCTCTTGGTCGGCGAACTAATGAGCTTGCGCTTGGTGGATTGTGAAGCGAGGTGAGGTACTGCCGGTGATGACTGTACGCCACGGTTTTCCGGCGATAGATGCGTAGATTTGGTCGTTGCATGGGAGAAAGATGTGGACTTCGTCCCTTGATCTAGCCTGTGTTGCGATCGCTGTGCAGCAGCCGTCTCGCCATTGAGATCTTGTGCGTCTGGGATATGGTCTAGCATCTCTATGTCTCCAGCGTCATCGCCGTTGGGGCCTTGGGGTACACTGCTAGGCACCACAACTCCCTTGTGCTTGTCGCCTGAACTTTGCATAACCCCAAGCTCGGCAAGATCAGAGAGACTAGGCGTATCGTATGTACTATGGACTATCGATGTAGATGATTGTTGTTTTGGCTCGCCGCTTGAGCTTTGGGCGCCTGGGGCATTCTTGCCTTTTCCATACGGAGTTTCTTTGACCTGAACAACTACAGGCGACCGCAAGGGATCAGACTTTGGAGCCTTTCCGATTGCCGATGTCTCTGTTCTGTGCCGTGTAAGATCTTCGCCCAAGGCTTGTGGAACGGATTCTTCCATGTTCATCTCATCGTCAGAATCTGCGGGTGCAGCTGGAACGGGTGGCGAGGATGATGGACCAGTTGGCTCGTCGTCATCTGAAATCTCGACGAGAGAACGATTTTGTGACTGCTTGCTGGTGGGCATTGGCTGTGACGCAGAATCATGTTCTAAATGAGATGCGGGCTTCTCGATGCTTGAGTCAGGAGGAAGTTCTTGATGGACTCTTGCTGGACGTGGTGGAGGCTCCGGGGACGTGTCCCAGGTCATCTCGCTATCGGCATCACTGTCGTCTTGAGTAGTCACGGGCTCATCATCTTTTGTCCTCGCAGATCTATCGTTTTTGGTAAAGGCAGGTTCATCATCTTGCGTCTTTTGGGGCAGAGACTCGGGCGATGGATCGACAGTCTCTGCAGACGGATCTGGGTCCGATTCATCGTCAGTTTCAGCGCCAGCTCTCTCGTCAGCCATCCGATGACAAGCCATGAGTATTGATTGCGGCATGTTTCCAGCCTGGAAAGGCTGAACCCCCGGTTGAGGTTTTAGCCAACTGGTTTCCCTGCCCAGACAGTGCTGTTGGATTTTCGGTACCTTTAGTGTCTCGCTATTGAAGATCAAATCTGCCATCCAAGAGCACGGAGGCATTGTGTCATTGTTATCCTCGATCAGGCTTTGCTCAGTGGTTTGATCCTCGGTTCGAACGTCTTCGGCAGCTTTTGCAGGTTCGGGCGATACCTCGTGGACCCTTTTGACCCTCTTTCTCCCATGGTTGGACACAGACGATGCGGGACCTTCGTTCCCAGCTTCTGGTACGAACATTGACTGTCGTTGCAATGCATCTGGCGGTGGTTCGAGAGATTCATCTGCAGTTGGCGTATCGTCACTTTGCTGCTTACCGAAAGCTGACTGTACGAAACCGTTCGCAGAGGGCGCCCCGGGTTTGCGGGCGTTTGGATTGGATAATTTGCCGAGAAGACCTAGCAGTGACTGTTGTTTCTCGTAGTCGGTGTTAGCAGCACCTGGCCGTATCTCTTTTCGCTGGGTGTTACCGCCTAGGACTGGCTCGAGCCGGTTCACTCCTATGACCTGTGGCTCCTCGTTGCCTGCATGAGGACGGGATGGGAGAGGCAGTTGTGTTCCAAATGGCAGCTGAGTGCCCATCGTCTGTGATTGGAGCTCGTTGCCATGCGGCATGTTCCCATCTGAGCCCATGTTATCCGCCGTAGCGTCGTTAAGTGCTTCTACGTCCGTTTCCTCAGCACCAGATGCCAAGCATCGGAGGTCCTCTTGCTCGCGGATATGGCGCAGCTGCTCTAGCAAAACACCAGTCTGATCGCAAGCATGCAGTGGCCTCAGAATCTCTCGCGTCAGATTCCGTACCCGTTCGCGGTTATCGCCCAGCCAATCGATCCGATCTAGTATCAAGCGCAGTCTTTCGCTCGGCGGGCCGTACGGGGTGAGGCGGATAGTGAAAGTGCGGACGGCTACTGCGGTGCCGATGGACAGGTGCGATAGCGCGGGGAATGCCTGCAGGAAGTTCCGAGCGCAGTCAGGCGTGAATTGGGAGAGGATCTGGACTTGGCCGTCGGTAAGTGTAAGAGGCGCGACCTGGTAGAAGTGATGTTAGATGTAGCAGCGGCGATGGGCGCAGTATCACCTGCCTTGAGTACCAGCAGTGCGCTGTTGCGGTCAGAGTGGACGTAGTTGATGATATCCAGAGACGAGCCGTTATCGTGGTACACGTCCCACTGCCTGTGCAATTGGGCTTTAACCCCAGACCGCTTCTTCTCAAATGTGTCCTGGAGCCACTGGTTGCCTAGCAGCAGCTGGGACTCGAACGTTTCTTCAAGCCAGGCGCTGAGGCGGAGGGCCATGCAATGGGATGTCGCGGCGCCAGTGGGAGACGCGACGCGTTCTGGTCCCGGCGAGATGTGCGGGGAGGAGGAACAACAAGCCGTGTGGGGACTCGTGAAGAGAACATAATAGAGTCCTGTCCAACTGAGAATAGCAGCTGATGCTTCACTCGTCCAGCCAGGCGCGTTTGATCTTGGACCACCATTCACGGCGGCTGCATCTCGTGGCTGGAGGGCATGAATTCATGCCGAGGGACGTGGGGGCGGAACAGCGAGCGGAATTCCTTGGCGGCTGCGCGTCATGGCCCGCCGCGTTTCCTGCATGCCTAGCTAGCTGTATGCACCTCGTGATGCTCCAGGTGCCAGTACCGTCGTAGCTGACTACTGTCGGCGCCTGGAATCTTCTTCCTCATTCCCATGAATCCGAAGCAACACACGTGTAACGAATCATCCGCCATCCTCGACTCCACCTCGCTGTCCGCCAGACTACCTAGGCATGATCCCACCTGAAGCCTGATGCTGTTCACCACAGGCCACTGTCGGACGCCGATCCGTCTGGACACACTCGATACTTCCTACTGCACCCGCAGACTGCAATTCTTTTGACGGCAGCCATGTCCAGAGACTCGCGGCGGGGCTCGCTGCAGCCGCCTTCGCTCTACCAAATGCATGCCCAGGCATCACGCTCCGACACGCTCACCACCTTCGACGACTTCACCGTGCCACCGGCCCCGAGCTCAGTTGGTGAGCCCAAGGGCATAGACTTGGTACAGGGTGGCTTCAGTGGGCTGTACAGTCGCCTGCGAGCTTCTGTAGGAGGCGTCA